AACCAAGAAGGAATTATCCACTTTTTACTGGAATCTTTCTGTATGGATACTAGCAGTCTTACACAGCCAGAAAAATAAGTAGCTTACTGTTGTGATATACGTAAAAGATGCTGCCAAAAATGTTCAAGGAAGTTAGGATTTAGCTTCACACTGATGTTCAAACGAGGCTTAACAGCTGTCATGTGCAAAGAGTATTGTGTGGTGTGAATTTCAAAGAATTTGGTGTGAAATTAAAAAGCAATGAAGGGTAATCAACAGCCAAGCCACTTGCAATCCTGCTACCTGGAAGGAATCTAGCAGAGAAACGCAGCTCCTGATTTCACTGTTCAATTCTGAAAGTTAGGAGTACTAGTCATCATTCATTCACCTGACTAACTAACCAAGATACACCCTTCTACAAATGGGAATCCTTTCCAAAAAGGGGATATCCCTTTCCATAAAGACAAGCTCTTGCATCTTACTCTCTACACAATCACTACCACCTCTACCACCACCACTGTTATTTTTCTACAACTTTTTCTTTTAGTCTATGTCTCACCTTTACCAAGGCTGGCCTAGAAGTTTCTTTGGGCCCATGGTGGCTTATTTAGCAGTATCAAGCACAAAAAACCAATAGATTACGAAATGTATTGTATGAAAACACATGGGGTGGTGGTCACTTGCCACAAAACAATGCCACATTGAGTCCTGAATGGTTCTGTGGGGCCTTTGTGTATGCCCGACGCTCCCAGCCGCACAAACACTTTCTGTACGATGGACTAAATCGCGAGGCAAATCACGAACTGCGAGGCCAGAAGTCGAAATTCAGAGTTGAGGCTCACAAAAATCGGGGGTCCACTGTGTGCTGCTCGTGGATTAGTACACCATCAGGGGATGAGAATGAAAATTAGCCCATAAGCTCCCATGACATCGAAGGTCCTCAGATGGCAGTAAAAAGCTACCTCTGTGGATGCGCCGGTTCTTTGTAAGATTGGGTGGTACTGTGGGTTAAGGCATCATGTGGTTCTAGCTCTCCATGAGGACCAGTAAACATAGGTTTCGAGTACCTCGGTAGTGCAGTGTTATTGATTAATACCACTCGTTCATGGGTACAATAATACAGGTGGGCCATCGGTTCACGATTTTAATCCGTTCCCGGAGCTCATCGTAAACCCAAATTATCGGAAAGCGAAAATTTTTCCTAAGAAATAATGGAAATGAAGTTATTCTGTGAAAGAACCAAAGTTTTGAAAAATTTTTTTTCATGTTCATTGTATTAATTTTAATCACAAACTGAAGACTGCACGTTACATGGACCCCTTTCCTTTATTGAAGACCTGGTGGTGATTGATGGGATGGGAGGAGGTGGAGTGTGTGGATGGTCTTTAGTGTTTGAGGGGAATCTCCTTCCAGTAGGACTTGAGGTATCAAGTCCTTTTCCAGGGTTACTACTTTTAATGCCACTAGGACCGCTTGTCACTGGACTTAAAGTCGCACAACTATTGTCCATAGAGGCCTGTACCTCCGTTCCTTATGACTTTCCTGAAAGTGTTTCACAACATTGTCAATGTAATAGTCAACCAGCACGGCCCTTTCAATAGCTGTGTGAGGGGTTTTTGATCCATAATGTTTGCACTTCAAGCCAACTTTGCCATATTTCGTAATCTTTGAAGTAGGCAAACTTATTCAGTATCTCCTTCCCTCCATCCGAAGCAGTTTCCTAAGGTGTGGCTCTAGGCCGTTGAAGATGATCTAGCACTCATCTGTGGTTAGTTCTTCATTGTCCTCCTCCACCAAATATTTCACATCTCCCACTAACCTCCAACCCCATGGACTTCCCCCAATGCCACATTCATTCCTCAAGCTCCGGATTGGCTTCTCAGCGTTCGCCCTCAAACCTTCGAAAAATCCTTTTGTCTACACATTTGGCCAGTTTTTCCAGCAGAGTTCAAGGTCCTCTTAGACTACTCCCAGCCTTACTATAAGGTTACACAATTGAGGGGATATGAAGGGATCCTTCCAAAACTCTTTAGTCAATAGTTTCTGTGGTTCACTTCAAAGCACCTTTCAAACTTAGCTTTTGTGTACAGTTTCTTGAAGTTGGAAATGACCTGCTGGGGCCATGGGCTGCAGGAGAGGAGTGGTTTAGGAGGCAAAAACTTTACCTTAAGAAACTCATGTTCCCAGAAAAGGTCACGTGCCAAGTCTGTAGGATGTCCAGGGGCATTGTCTAATACAGGAGGGCACTTAGGTTTATTTCTTTTCAATTAGGTAATTTGTCACATTGGGGGCAAATGCATGGTGAAACCAGTCATAGAAAGTCCCAAGTGACACATGCGTTACTGTTTGCCTCCACAGCGCGCGCACACACGCCCATTAGCCTTGAGGATATTCGTTTGCGGAACGCCTGGGGTTTGTGATACACCAAGGAAGGCTTCACTTTTGCAATCACACTAGCATTGGCACCGAGAAGCGTAAGCCTGTCTTTTATTGGCTTATGTCCTGGGAGTGCTTTTCTGAGTAATGTAGGCCCTGCTTTGCAACTTTCTTCCAAAACTGGCTTGTTTCATACTATTAAAACACTTGTTCAGGTTTCAATCCTTCAGCTTCTGCGTACTCCTTGAACTTCGTGCACATATTTTTCAGCCGCGATGTGGTCTGAAATCTGGCAGCCTCGCCATGCCTAATCACATATGTTGCCACTACGATTCTGTAAAATCTTTTAAACAAACCTTTGCGGCTTAAATTCACTTGGCATCACACTATGTTCCGGCAATTTTTTTACCAATCGTCATGGCATCTGCCTAGCCTTTTTCACAAATGATCGCGTGAGAGATGCTATCTCCTGTTTTGTTTTCATTTTTATCTACACAATAAGTCTCTCCCCCCCCCCCCCCCCCCCCCCCCCCCCCCCCCCCCCAACATTTTCAAACACTTGCAGTTGCTGTTTCATAGTCACAGTTGCACCTTTTGCAAGAACAGTTTTTGATTGCCGTTATCCTGCTTGCTATGTAGAGATGGTTGTTTGGGGTTTACTATACTAAACTGACCAGCTCCGACAAACGCACTCCACTCGTACTTTGCCAATTATTCTCTCTTTCATTTCAACAGTCATTAGCACCCTTGGTCTCAACGGGTTGGACTAGGAGCAGTCGTGGGCCCATGGTGACGTATTTTGCAGAAAACGCACAATAAACCAGTGATAATATGGATATATGGAATGTACCGAATGTATCCTTAGATGCGCACCACTGGCTGCTTGTAAACAGCACACACAGGGCGTCTGGGGCCACATGTGACATGTCTCGTAGAACCGCATCGCACACCGGGTTTTGTAATGGGAACGGAGGCAATTCTCTGCGATATACTGCATCGGTTACCAGATTTATCGGGATCCGATCGCATCGCGAACATGGGTCTAATGTATATACCAATTATATTATAATTTTCACACATTATTTATAATACTGTGTGCATAAAAAATCAAAATGGGAATTCATGTGTGAAGATGGCAATGTAACTAATACAGAGAATGTTTATTTTGTACTATGAATGCCTGCAATGTTTATCTCGACCCTATTTTGAATTTTTTAGTGAAACTGGCCCAAAAATACCAATTTTCGTATACTAGTTGGATGAATTTAATTAGACCTGCACAAAAACCCGTGGTGAAAAATGGGCCCACTAGTTTAAGGCCTGACTTCCATTAGATTAAAACCCTAAAAGCATAACATTCCCCAGAAATATAACAGGCAATTCCTTCATCAGTTTATGTAAAAGACTAAAAATGAAATGCAAAGTTCATAATCAAATTATTTTTCAACAACACATCGGCCCTCTCCCACTGAGGCAGTGACTGGAAAGAAAAAAAAAACTTACACCATCATTCAACACTATTACCATTCACATATAATCACTGTCTTTGCAGAAGTGCCCAGATTTGACAGCTTAGATGTCACTCCAAACAGCCAATATCCCAAACTCCGCCTTTAAAATGCATGCATTTTACTTCCCACTCCCAGGACCTGAGTCCCTGGATCCCTTTACCAACATCCTAAATTTAAGGCTTTTCTTCCTTTTATTTTTAGTAAGCTGGACAGGAAAAGGTGCTAGAAGCCCACTGCTCCCGGCATTTTAGTTGACTCTTACAACACGCATGGCTTATGGAGGAAATATTCTTATTCCACTTCCCCATGGACTTGCTACTTTCAACTAACTGGCCGTATCCCACAGATGCAGGGTGGCCCAAAAAGAAAAAAGAAAAGTTTCTCTTTAACTTTAGTAATGTATACAGGAGAAAGTGTTACTAGTCCCTTGCTCCCGGCATTTTAGTCGCCTCTTACGACATGCATGGCTTACGGAGGAAGAATTCTATTCCACTTCTCCATTCCCCATGGACATAAGAGGAGATATAATAAGAACAAGTGTAAGCAAAAGTAGAAAGATATACCCATTATCTTGTGGGTCTGAGACAGAAAAAAGACTACAGCACTCCCACCATGTAAAACAAATACAGTGGTACCCTGAGTTTTGTACAGCTCCCAATTTGAAAAATTATTTAAGTGTATTATTATAAGTGCTTTTGTAAGTATTTTTGGGGGTCTGAAATAGAGTAATCTAATTTACATTATCTCTTATGGGAACAAATTCGTTCGGTTCACACACTCGAGCAGACTAGACTTCGTAAACGAATTTATGGCCAAAAACTCAGGGTACCACTGGACCGGTTTGGTCTTACTCGTTGTCAGGAAGTAGTACCCCCTCGGAGGTTATGTCTACCCAACCTTTTTAGTATTACATCACACTAAAAAAAAAAAGCACTAAACCAGTGTGGACAAAATTAGTCTAAGGAACATAAGAGATCAAATATTAAGTTTCAACAAGATAAGTTCCTCAAACTCCACTTGAAAGACAAGTTACATTAGAAGCATTGATGTTCATTAATGCTGTAGTGTACAGCTGTGTACTCTTGCTCTAACAATTACACATAGTAAGTGTAGAATTATTCCACTTCTACTTACTTTCAAATTAGTGACAAAGGTCTCAGTTTTTGTTTTGTCCACTAATCTATGTTCATAATTCAAATTTGTTGGCTCTCCTGGAGAGAGCAGGAGATCTCGGATAACTTCGTTGTAAATTTCAACGAAGCTAACCTTAATCTTGTAAGACCAACCCTGCAAAAAAGCAACAATAAGATAAATAAGGTACAGAGCAGAGTTTAAGACAAACATTTTTGAGAAGAGGTAAAATTAAATACGTATCAGGAAAAGCTCAATATGACTAACAGCTTTCAGAGTATTTGAGGAGTGGGGTAAAAGTTGATCACATGTTCATTTACAAAAAGTTAAATCTTTCTTTTTTGCATTGGCTGTTTCCCACTATTACGATAAACTTTATAAACCCTAGGCGTTGTTAGTCTAGGGGACTTTTCAAGGAGAATTGTTCTCTAGTTCTATCGTAATAAGGTTGTAGGGAGATCAACAAACATTTTAAAATGTATCTTTAATATATAAACAGACTTTATATATTACTTAAAAATGAAGACCTTCAATTTTTGTTGTATGAACCTTTCATATACAGTTGACAAAAGTTACATTATTTCCTATTTTCTAAGGAGATTAGGTTAATGGTTTAACAAACTCGAAGTCTCACAGCGAGAACTTTGTTTAAGGAAATTTCAGTTTCTGGTGACTTTAGCGAGTAAAGTGAGTAAGCTGTGGAGGACCTTCTCTTACACAGAGAGAAGTGCTGTACTGTGTAATCTACCCCATCACACCTGACGTCAGCTCGCTTCAGGCGAGTTAGTGTAGAAGTGGAGGCCAAACAATTGGTCGTTACATTTCCACAGCAGAATTATATATATATATATAATGAAAAATGGGAAAGGTGAAATTGAATTTTTAATATTATAAAAGTGTTACTCTCTTATAGCATTTAACGTAGTAATCGCCAATATAATAATAGAAAGATGAGCAACTATGAAAGACATATATTATATGATTCTGCGTAACACCCTTCCCTTCGACAGTATGTAGTACTGGGAATTTTTTTTTTCCAAAGGTTTTGTATCGAGAAGCATACGAATGATCATATCGAAGGAGACTTCGGATCGAGAGAGAGGCGTGTTTGCACCAGACTTCTAGTATCCCGTTAGCGTTTGTACATGCACATAAGCCTTCGGGGTAGCGGGAAATGGAGGCAATAGCCTGCCTAGTCTCTCGACCAAATCTAGATCGATACTGCATGTTACCATACTTAAGTACTGTAAATAGACAATCATTAGATAAACGGACATCTGAATGGTTTAAAAGTTTAAAGTAAAAATTTAGACAATAGAATCGTCCAAATGAATGAACTTTATTTAGGGACGCGAAAGAGCGTCGGCAAGAACGGTACTGCCTTTTATATGATTAATGCTAAATGAATAGGGCTGAATTCTGAGAGACAACTCAGGAATTCGGGCATTTTTGATTTCTTTGTATTATACTGTTAAGGGGTTGTGTAGGAATATTACTGATATTTTCTGAGGCGATGTTTCCCTGGTATACGTCGAAAATACTCTAATGAAACTACCAGGGCTAATGCTCTTTTTAAACAGTTGAATATTTCTTGATGGGACTTTAACTTTGATGAAAATGCAAATGGGATGCAAAACTTCAGATATGATGAATTTTGTAGCAAGCTGCCCCTTAGCATAGCAGTAGCATCAATATGCAAGATAAAGGGTTTGTGAAAATTGGGACTTTGTAATACAGGAGAGGACGTAAGCAATCTTTTAATTTTTCAAAAGTTTCAGTACTTCCAGGGTCCCTTTAATGGTTACTCTAGGACTAGTTTAATTCAGTCAGAGGAGAGCTCTTGTGCATAAAAAATTTTCATTTTTGATCATCGACTCAGTTGGTTAGCGCTTGCCTAAAAACCGAGTCTATTGGAACTTGAGTCGCTCCACTTTCCTTGCTGTCACTTCTGTGTAGGACATCTTGTTTAGATATAGGGACCCAATATGGCGTTGTTTTGACTTGATTTGGCATAGAAGACATACTTTTGGTATCTTTAGATTTCATTTTATGGCTTTTAGTTCTTCCCGCAAATTCCTGACTCCTATAAGAATCCTTTAGCTTCGTTCGATGCTTGCTTTTTCATTCACCCAGGAGCTATACCCTAACGACTTTCGCTTTTTCATTGGACTCCTTTTCCTCCTCGCTCCCCCCACACGCAACACCGTCGGTTCGCCCTGTAAAGGGAGCGCCTGTCTTTTATTTTACATCTACTCCTTTTCTTAGAGGATAGCACTTGTGCATACATCTAGTTGCCACCAAGTTAATCTGTTCTAGGCTTAAGTTGGGGTCTGTGTTGCTTGTCTATCTTCCAGCCTTATTCGGTTAGGGACTTTGTTTTCCTTGGTCCCACTTTGTTTTTGTTATTGAAGTAGAAATTTGGTGAATGCTCCTCGTGATAATCTCATTTTGTCGGTCTGGGGGCTCACACGCTATCCATGTCTGAACCTCAAATATTGTTGTGATCTGGTATATTGTTTTGATATGGGCCCTTTTTATCAGATTCATCAGTGTTGTGAGATGAGGTCTAGTGTAATCTCCAGTCTAGTAGGCTAAATTATTTGCTGGTTTAAATTGAATTTTGTGCAGATATTTAAAAGCTCGTGTGAGTTTCATAGAGCTGCTCCTGGTGTTATTATGCAACAATATTATTTGCTATATTCCTCCATTATAGGTGTAATTGAAATCCCCCTGGAGCAAGTTGTTGTGCAGGAGCTGGAAGATTTTCCAGACAGTGCGTCAATTTTTAGAGCTGTTCCTGGAATTGATGGGATGTTGCATCCGGAGGCCGTGTCATAGGACTTTCCACATTGACTAGGTTTTGGTTCTCGTACCTTTTACTGCTTAACTTCCACTACATCATTGAGGATTAGCAGTTCTGTGGCAAACATGTGACTTTGCAATTAGCTAGACTGGCCCCAGGAGGGAAAATATGCCAGTGGCAGCATCTATGAAGACTTGGTTGAGGGTGTTGCAGTACAAGAGGGTCATTTGAATAACACTTCTGGCAAAGTGGCGATTGAGTGAATGTGGCGAATGTGTCAAATATATATAAAAAAAAAGCCTTTAATGAAAACAATTTCCTAGAATATAATTTAACGCCATTTTCATTATCATTTACCAAAAGCAAATCAAACATGAATAACTTCCAGTACTACGAATTTTAAGCAACCAAGTGCATAATTTGGTAAAGAAATACTCAAGCACTACTATATGTACCAAGGTATAGGAAAAATTACTTATTGACAGCACTAAATAGCAAAAAAAAAGCACAATACTGTGACAGTAAAATGGGTCTCCAAGTCAGCCACAATCGTCGTCGTAAGCTTCTCTTCTATGTGCGGGTTATTATGTATTGAAAGAAAGTTTAAAGACTTCTCTACCTCATCCTTCAGCCCGTTTATTGTGAAGATTACTTCACCGTCCCGTGGAAAATCCACGCCTGCTGCTCCTCGTTTGAAGACACCTTCCATTGTGTAAGTCTTTCCCGAGCCTGTTTGCCCATACGCAATACGCATGGATTTGTCCGTCTTGATTACCGACTGACAGAGCTGTGTAGGGGGGGGGGGGGGGGGGGGGATTTCCTTAGAATATGTTTCTTTGTGTTGTCTTGGCCCGTACCACCTGTTCGAAAGTGATTTCGCTACCTTTTGCCTTACATTTTGATCTAGAAAAAAAATAAACATTTAATTGGGTTGGTTTATTTGCTGCTTTTTCTGATCACCTTTCCTCAGTGGGAGACCGGCCCATTTGTTAAAAAAATAAAAAATGGTTTACTGCAGTAAGGTGCGACAAGGAAGGTTTCCCTATTCTTGGTATGGTCTATTCATGTTGCAAATATTATGAAGGAAAAGAAGCCTCTTTGCTGCACTACGTCTCTGTAATACTAATCCAATTTCATCGCATACAAGCAATAAAGAGAAGTATGGAAAATACAGAATGAGTGTACTGTATAGTCTTGGTTTATAATAATATACTGACACCACTACTAGTACACTACACAGCATCCAAATTACACATGCAATTGTGTCTGGTCATATTACAGATGACAGAGAAGTGATACTTCTCGAATATTTGTGCTTGTGTTCCAGTTGGCCTGTAAACCTGATCAAAAGTGAACTCACTCCTTTTATTTGTGCTTCCATTTTGATCTAGAAAAAAATAACATGTTCCACTTTCAGGGGCCAAGGCTAATTATGAAAGTCACGCACCAGTGTCAAGAAATTTTGAAAAGAAACAAAAAAAATTTTTTTTTATCTTACAGAATTAAAGTGCTATTTTTCTTGTGAAGGTTAATAAAACACAAAAACTTAGAATTGATCAGTATTACCGAGATAGTGCCAAGAAGTTTGTAGAAAATGATGTGGTGGCGGCAACATCGACGAATTCCACATACGCGTATTATATTATTTTGTTGTTTTAGTTGTTTTTTCTTTTTCTTTTCCAATTTTTGTTCTATTCTACTAACATTTGGTGCCTGAACCCAATACTGTTATATAATTGATATATATATATACTCACTGTATTGAACACTCAATAAACGCACTAAAGTTATTATCATATTATTGTTTACCACTGTTTATTACAATAAACTGCACCAAATCTTGTATAATTTACTAATGTTCTATCATATATTTCAATTTACAATCACTGTGGACATGGTTTTAGAACTGTGGAGCTTGTGGAACTCTGAAACAAGGCACCATGCACAGTGGGCACCTTACATTACCATCACACATATAACGGTGTCTTTGCGTCATTTGTTGCCCGTCGTTTTGTTTGTGCACAGTCCAATGCCATTTCACTTCTGAGCACATTTCTTTTGAGTTGAAGGAAGCTGTAATTATGAAATGATCACCTTCTCCTCCTCAGAACGCTTGGGTATATTGTGTTAATTCGAGGACCATGTTGTATTGCCAGGTGGTTCCGTTAGTACTTATTATGGTTGTTCTGACTACAGACAAACAAATTGACGCTTACGGTGGTCTGTTACAGTCTTTATTTGGTAATATTATTATGCATTCAGCATTGAAATGTCCATGAGAGGAAGAAAAGTTTCACGTACCACTTGTAACCTCTTACGGACCACAGTCAACACACCCAATCTGCGCACGTCACACTTGTCAACCAGCGATGTTTTGTGTATAATCAATCACTGTCATGGCGTTTTCGAATACGTTCATTAGTCACTCGATCATACTTTGCCACTGTCTCTGCATTTCATTAAGGGTGAATGGTTGTACAACACAAGTGACTTCTCGTTTGTCATGCCACGTAATGCCATGTTGTCATTGGCAGTAAACACTCCGCACGTCCATCACCACGAACCACCTGCGTTGAGGCCTGGGCTATGGTTTTACGATTAGAACGCACTGTGCCACACACATCTGTCTTGTTCACTCCGCATGAAATCACTGAGTAATGGGCTTGTGTACCAGTTATGGTATATAATGTTGGACCTTACCAAGATAAGGTGCCGCATGTTTATCCACTACGTCACCTGATATACCATTAACATCTTGGTATCTCATTGTTTTACTAACCCGTGTATACAACAATATCCCAACACCAGGCCACTGTCACAATCACAGTGTACAAAAACAATTTTATACCAAAGCGGTTCCTCTTGCTCAGTATATACTGCTTGATAAATGACAGTCTACTTTGACAATCAACAATCGTTCAATTACAAGATTCTTGAATGGATAAAAATATATCTGAATGTTTGTTTGTGATACATGGAAAAACATTTGATCTTCTATATCCTGTCACTTCTGTAGGCCTGGTTTTGTCAGAGGAGTGCAACATACGTAACAGTACAGATTAAACCTGTTCATGGTATTATTTCCATGAATGATGGGGTACAAATTAGCCGATATGTGGACAGTATGCTTTTATATTATGGCTTATAGACGTGAGGCATAAGCATATTGTTGCAAAAAGCAAATACATTCTGCAACGTGTCTCTTTCACCTGTGTAGTCTTGACTGATGGTGCTAAGATCGTATTATGCCTTGGTGTACTGAAAATCTTATTACTTTCCCTGACAATTAATGTCATCAATGGCTGCGTCAAAGAATAATTCAAAGAATTCCAGTTCATTGGCGTGGTTCCAAGGGGACAGGTAGGTAGAAATTCCACTTTGAGAGTCATCAAGTGGTGAGGGTGGGACAAAACTGGGATTTTGCTCTGCCAATCCAAGTTACGGTTTGCTGGTGGATACTGCACATCATAGGTGGTTGTACGGGTGGTTGTGGCGGGCTGGTGGGGTGACGGCTGCTTTGTCTTGAACTGTCGGAGTCAGCGTGTGGGTCCCCGCAGTGGCACAGCAAGTCAAGCATGTCGGTGCCATACCACACCGCCACACTTAACACCCATCACTGATGTTCTGTTGGCCCATCCATGCCAGGGTTGCCACAATCATCCTCACTATCACTACCCTAAAACGGGGTGTAGGGGCCACGGGATGTACTCGGGATGTACTCTGGGAGTACTCCGTCCCTGGGCACAGCATAGGGTACACTATTACAACCCCATCTCTCTTCTACGAGCGATGCGGCGCGAAACCATTACCGAGCTTCAAGGGATGAATGTTTCCTCTACTATCACCTACTCGAATGCTCGTCGAGCGCAAATAAATCACAATCCACGTCCAGAATCATCGTAATACTGAAGTCAGAGGCTGGCCTCGGGAAAATATTAGTTTTTCTCTTAGTTGAGGAACACCGACCGTGCGAGCCCACTTGAGGCAGCGCTCTGCTGTCGTATCTCCAGTCACGCGTCTGCCCTAAGTGTGACTCTGCTGCGCCTAGAACTGCGCGCTCCCACACAACCAACCCCCAACCCCCAACCCCCCCCCCCCCCCACCCCACCCCCCCCCCCCCCCCCCCCACCCCCCCCCCCCCCCCCCCCCCCCCCCCCCCAATCCCCCTCCCCACCCCCCCCACCCCCCCACCGTCCCCCCTTCTCTGCACGATTATCGATATCCTGGTCATTATTTTCGGTCACTAACTTATCTAAGCCGTAGAATGCGTCTTCATTTCCACTTCCATCAGTGTCTGAACTATCAGAAGGAAAGGAGAGTACCCAATTTTCCGGGGGTGAGAGCTGACTTGCGACGAGCATGGTGAAAAAGGGTGGACTGAGCCGGCGTTCACAATGCTATGCAGGTGCCTATGATTTTTTGTGTTAACGGGGCACACCACAGCGCAGAACCAATCTCTCATATGTAGGCCTATGAGCGCTTTCGCGCTAAATTTGATGGGCTAGAATTTTGTCGTCAGATTACGGTTGGGACACTCCACACCAGCCGATAGCTCTACGGGACGGACCCTGAAAGGGTTAATTGGTTATGGTTTATTTGCTGCTTGTTTTTCGGATCACCTTACCTCAGTGGGAGACGGCCGATATGTTAAAAAATAAAAAATGGTTTACTGCCGCCCCCCCCCCCCCCCCCCCCCCCACCCCCCCCCCCCCACCGGTGGACAAGGAAGTATCCCTAATCTTGGTATGGTAATTCATGTTGCAAAAAAATATTTTGTAGGAAAAGAAGCCTCTTTGTGCACTACGTCTAATTTCTCCAATTTTTCTGCATTCAAGCGATTGAGGAAATATGGAAAATACAGAATGGATATGTAATGTAACTGAACATGTTACAGTAACAGGGGTGATTTTGATTAGTTTCAGGATGATACGACCTTGAATTGAGCTCAAATAGCAAAAATTATTGGTTAAAACCTTGGTACTTATACCGACCTTGATCAAGTCCCAGGACCGAAACGTGTTCCAATTTTATGTCGGTGTTTGCTTACGTGTCTTTTCTAACCAGCCAAAATGTCCAGATTTTTCCACAGCTCTGGAGTAAGCAAATCACACGACAGTCCAATACACGTCAACTGGGAAGTCTCTAACTATTCTTTCACTTGTGCACTAACTTTATTTATCCCCCCCCAAATTTTTGTTTTTTACCTAATGCAGAAGTCTGCATAACCAGTAATTTTCCATTTTTTGTATGAATGGATAACATCAAAATAAAAAGCAATTGTAATATAAGAGGGGCCTAGAGACATGACTATGAAAAGAGGATTAGGTCATTTTAGTGCCTAGAATGATTACATTATTTTATTCTGGACCCTATTTTGAAATTGGCATCTT